TAAATTATTGCCAAGACGAGAGAGCTTACGGCTCCTTAATCGCTACTAATCTCTTAGCGAACGATTAAGTGTGTGTGAATGTGTCCTAGAACAAATTAGATCTCTCTTAATTTATTCTACATGCAATTGTAATTCTAGTCGCGATTCTAGGTTACAAAAGATATCAATTAAATTATTCAAACACAAATTAAACGGCATTCATGCAATTAAACCGAAAAGAATCTAGCCATACATCATGATTAACCCCTTCATCAATCCCAAATCCCTAATTAAAACTACTCACAATTCATAATTGAAGAATCAATAGAATTGGAATAAAAAGAATTAATTGTCATTAATTAAAAAGGTGGAACTTACAAAGAATCCCAAACGATTGATGAACAAGGCTGAAAGCCCTCTAAAATTCGTGCTAGGCACTCTCTCTAAGCTCCCCCTTGAAAACGGGGGTTTACAGGCTGTTTAAATAGAAAAATCGGGTGAAATTTGAGCTGAATTAGGATTTTCGGAGCCAGACACGATGCCAGGCACGATCGTGCCTTCGATCGTGTCTCCGGAGCAAAAACGCGCATTTTAGGCAGGCACGATCGTGCCTCCCTCCAGGCACGATCGTTCCTGGCTGGCAGTAACTCCTCCGTGTTTTCTCTTCACGCACGATCGTGTCTGACTTTGAGGGCACGATCGTGCCTACTTAACTTCCGAATTTGGCAATGCTTTCTTCATGAAAGTTGTAGATAATGAAGTCCTCTATTCACCCCAATTTTCCGAATGTGATTTGAATCCTCCAATCAAGAGATATGATCAAAACGGTGGAAGGTGTCTTTCTGAAATCGCAGCAGAGATCATCTGACTTCATCGTCTGTTTTCACCTTCTTCCTCTCAGATTCTCGCAAAGGTGTCTTCATATGATTTGTAGCCCTTGAAGTTGGCTTTCCTATGGAACTTGAATCGTGTACATTGGATGTTGCTACAAAGAGATATGCTTGAACGATTGACAGAAGGTCATCCTGATCGTCGTTTTCAAGCTTCATTCATCTTCTTTTGATCCCGAAGCCAATCCTAGAGCTCTTTTTTTCTTCAAATCTTCATCATGAATCTTCCGGTGACCTCCAAATCTCTCAAATCACTCTCGAATGCTTCTCGACTCATCTCGATTTCTTCTCAAGTGCCGGTACCGGGCTCAAATTCCCTGATTTTGACTTCAAATGACACAAAACTCGAACCAACGCCCGGTAAACATAACTTGAGCTAAAAATGAGACTTGTAACACCTTAAAGCTAGGAAAATCATCAAAAGCCGATCTCAGCACGCATCAAATACGTGTCAAAATACGGACTTATCAACCATACATTTGATTTTATATTGTATCATACTAGTACTATCTCTAAACTCATTTAACCGAAACAGACAATTATATCAAAAGAAAAACGACACGAAAAATGAAACACAAAACGAGTCGGTGTCATCATATTAGTTTCTACATTTAAATTAATTTATTTGTGGAAGTTTTGATTTCAAATAAACATATATGAAATTAGAGATTTTCAGTTGATGAGCCTCTAACCTCCTAGAGTTGCTAAGCAAATCGCTTAATTAGTGTTTACTCAATCAAAGGACTGTGTGAGAGTTTGAACTTGCTAGTAACCTTCATTTCTTATCCATGAACGACGAGTACTCCAAAAGCTGTGTAGAAAGCCAGGACATTACTAGCCAAGTTTAGAAATAGTAGGACAAATGGACTCTCGGTTTAAATCTTTCAAAGAGTGTGTTCTTGAGAGGTAAGAAGTCAAAAGTCAAAACCATTGGTGATAAAATTGATAAGTATTGGTGAAACTATGAAATAGATGGGAAGAAACAATCCTCCTTGAAGGAGTTCAATATATGCGTGTATACATGCAGGAGCATTTTCATGCTATATATAATACAAATAAGTGTGGTATGAAGAGAGAGGAAACATGCATGGGACATGCATGTAATGATACCCATGCAGGGGTGTTAACTTAAATGAAAACAATACACATGGTGATATGGAAATAATGGAAGTGTAGAGTATCTAATTATTTCAATACTCCCCCTCAAGTTGGAGTGTGAAGATTGCGAACACCCAGCTTGCTTCGAAGAAACTGAAAACGATCGGTTCCAAGTGCTTTAGTAAATATATCTGCAACTTGATTGGAAGTAGAAATGCACAGTGGTTGAATTTCATTTCTAGCAACCCTTTCTCTCACAAAATAACAGTCCATTTCTACATGTTTGGTCCGCTCATGGAAAACCGGGTTAAGTGCAATGTGACGGGCTGCCTGGTTGTCACAATAAAGGGGTGTGGGACTGTTGTGGTTAACCGTGAGGTCCTGAAGCAACCAGCGGAGCCATACTATTTCACTAACAGTGACGGCCATGGCACGATATTCTGCTTCAGCGGAAGAACGAGAAACAACAGATTGTTTCTTTGTGCGCCATGAGATAGGTGAACCACCTAGAGTAATAAAATAACCAGTACTGGAGCGACGAGTAAAAGGGCATCCTGCCCAATCAGCATCACAATAACCTTTTAATGCTAGGTCATTAATAGATGATAAAAAATCCCTTGTCCTGGTGTGTGCTTTAAGTAACGTAGGACACGTACGGCGGCATTGAGATGAGTTTGTCGAGGGCTGTTGAGAAATTGACTAAGCTGACTAACAACATATACAATGTCTGGCCGGGTCACTGTGAGATACAATAAACGCCCAATCAGCCGGCGGTAAGAAGAGGCATCCACAGGTGGGCTATCATCGTCTGGTCTCAATTTTAAATTTTGCTCCATGGGAAATGCACTGGGGCGGCCCGCTAGAAGCCCACTTTCCTCCAGGATGTCAAGAGTATACTTCCTTTGGCTTAAGACAAAACCATCGGGGGATCGTGCAACTTCAATGCCAAGAAAGTATTTTAGCTTCCCCAGGTCTTTTATACTGAATTTTGTGTCCAAGTAATTCTTGACAGTGGAAATATGAGAAATATCATCTCCGGCCAACAATACATCATCAACATAAATAAGGGCATAAGTATTTATGTGACCATTTTGGAAAGTAAACAATGAGTGATCTGCTCGGGATTGGCGAAAACCGATGTCATTAAGAGCTTCGGTAAATTTGTGATACCAGTTACGGGAGGCTTGTCGTAGTCCGTATAGAGATTTTTGTAACTTGCAAACACGAGTATCACCACTTTTGACAAATCCTTGTGGGATACGCATATAAACATCTTCAGAAAGATCTCCATGGAGAAAAGCATTGTTAACGTCAAGTTGGTGTACAATCCAATTTCGCTTGGCCGCAACGGCCAACATGCATCGCACCGTGACTAATTTTGCAACCGGTGCAAATGTTTCGTGAAAGTCAACTCCCTCAATTTGAGTAAAGCCTCTGGCTACCAATCTAGCTTTGTAACGTTCCACATCTCTATTGGGTTTATATTTAATTTTATAAACCCATTTAGAGTCCACTGTCCTTTTTCCAGGTGGCAAGTTGACTAGAGTCCAAGTATTGTTTTCTTCTAAGGCAGTGATTTCCTTTTGCATAGCCTCTCTCCATAAAGGATCCTGTACAGCACGCTTAAAATTTTTCGGCTCATCACGTGAGGTGATGGCCGCTAGATAGGCTCTATGAGTGGAACTGAATTTATCATAATTAATAAAGTGGGAAATAGGATATACCATTGAGTCGGCTGAGTTGGCGGTGGTCCGTGAATGGTCAAGTGAGGGTGGCAATTCAGTCTCATAATCTGCCAGGTGCTTCGGACATTTCCGAATTCTTTTTCCTTCCTGTGATTCACGTGTTGGTACAACGTATTTAGAAGTCACAATTGGAGAGTGCGACTCCGTGAAGCTGTGAATTCTGAACTATTTTGATTAGTGGGCCCTTCTACTCCATTTGCTGGACGGAGACATTTTCCCAAAGAAAGTTGGTTCTCCACTTTGAGATCATTTTGGCTAGTGGGTCCCTCCATCTCATTTCCTGGAAGGAGGCATCTTTCCAAAGGAGGTTGGTCATTCACATCAAAGTGTTCAAAAACTCCCGTACCTGCCTGTTGGTATTGTCCTTGATGAGAGCTTTTGTCCAAGGGAGAGCAACTGTCCATATTAATTGGACCATGAGGATTTGTTCTTTGAGTGTCGCTGCCCACGCTCTCCAAAGCAGGAAGCTTAGTAGTTGTGTTCCTGTTGTAATTATCTTGGCCACCCATCCCTGATATGGGTCCGCTATTTCTTTGGTTAGGTGGGGATGACCGACTGCAGTTGTCATGGTTTATTGGAGAGTTTTGTTTTATTGTATGGTTGTACACTTGATCAACTTGTCTCTCAAAGTCAAGATCTGGATCATCTATAACTTTGAACGGAAACTTTTGTTCGAAAAATGTGACGTCCCTAGAACTATACACCGTTTGCTTTTGTAAATCAAAGACACGATAAGCCTTTTGTCCGTATGGGTACCCAATAAAAATACAAGGACTCCCCCTTTCACCAAATTTTTCTTTTTGTTTATTGTTGTGGGCATATGCCAAACATCCAAATACTCGCAAATGTTCATAATTTGGCACCTTACCTAATAACATTTCATAGGGAGTTTTATTTGAGATAAGGGGTGACGGAAGTCTATTAATAATGTAGACGGCAGTCAAAATGCATTCTCCCCAAAAATTAATGGGTAACCCAGATCGAAAACGGAGAGCCCTAGCAACTTCCAATATGTGTCTGTGTTTTCTTTCTACTACCCCATTTTGTTGTGGTGTATCGGTGCATGATGTCTCTAGCAAAATTCCGTTATGGTTATAATACTCACGTAAAACATTGGTTTGAAATTCGGCGCCATTATCGGTGCGGATTCGCTTGACTTGACGTTCAAATTGGGTATTTACCATATTGCAAAAGTGAATCAACAAGTGAGGAACTTCGGACTTATTTTTTATTAAATAAACCCAAACACCTCTAGTAAAGTCATCAACAATAGATAGAAAATACCGTGCTCCGGAGGTTGAATCACATCTATACGGTCCCCAAATGTCACAATGTATCAATTCAAAACAGCGAGTTGTCTTAATAGTACTTCTTGGGAAGGGCAGCCTGGTCTGCTTAGCTCGCATGCAAGGATCGCAAAAAATATTGTCCCGTTTAAAACCCTTGAGATAACCAATATGATGTATCTTTCCATCAGATGCATGCCCCAAACGTTGATGCCATAAATCACAGGTAATAGAGACTGACATTGCCACTCCTTCACTTCTCGAGGACTCCAAATAGTAGAGACCATTACGAAATTTACCCACACCAATCAACTTTCTCGAGGGCAAATCCTGTAAAATACAAAAGTCTGAAAAAAACGTGAGTGTACAATTTAGATCGCTTGTTAGGCGACTAGCAGAAAGTAAGTTGCACTGAAATTTTGGAATGTATAGAACACGTTTAAGTCGGAGCCCATTGGGTAAGTATAAACTACCAACAGCATGAACCGAAATTAAATCACCGTTAGGAATTCTGACTGGTGGCTCTGGCGTGTGATTGATATCAAAGAGGTTGTTATCACTACACGTGATGTGTTCAGTAGCCCCAGAGTCAATTATCCAAGAACGAACATGTGGCAATGTATACGCCATATTTTATGAGAACTTAAGAAATTACTTCCAGGATTTCGTCTCTGATACCATGATAAAATTGATAAGTATTGGTGAAACGATGAAATAGATGGGAAGAAACAATCCTCCTTGAAGGAGTTCAATATATGCGTGTATACATGCAGGAGCATTTTCATGCTATATATAATACAAATAAGTGTGGTATGAAGAGAGAGGAAACATGCATGGGACATGCATGTAATGATACCCACGCAGGGGTGTTAACTTTAATGAAAACAATACACATGGTGATATGGAAATAATGGAAGTGTAGAGTATCTAATTATTTCAATAATTGCAAGCTCTCCGGTTTGTGAGGTTGTTGAAAATGGATCTGCCCCTCAGGTAGGTTTCTGCATGGATGGTAAGTACTATAATCTAAGAAAAGACTTTTTGCTTCAATGCAAGAGGCTTTTCGTAAGGATGTTGAAAGAGAATTTGGAATTTTACAATCTAGGTGGGCTATTGTGCGAGGTCTTGCACGACTTACGCACATTAGGTGATATAATGATGACATGCATTATAATGCACAACATGATAGTGGAAGATGGATATGAAGAGAAGGTTGAAGAACCAACTCGTCAAGACTACCGTGAAGACTATGACTATATTGGTGACACCGTTGAATTGGATCTTAACCATGATGGCCCGACCTTGAATCAGTATATGATGCGCCACAATCGAGTGTCGTTCTCAATTCTTGTCTCACAAATCTCCTGTATGCACATGGGATTTGATAATGGGATCTGGCAATGTATTTTTATGGTAAAATCCTACCAAATTCTAATCCAGAAAAGAATTCAGAAGTTTTGTTGATGTTACACCATGTCTTTTTTAGACTCTCACAATGTCCCAATGAAATGCATCCAGATTTTGAAAATCCTAAAATGTTTTATAAAGTCCCAAAGGAATACACCTCCCTTAGTCTATATACATCAACTTTCACATAAAATTGGAAATGACAATCCTTAATCCATCATCGATCCCTAATTGCAACCTATCTATATCTTCGACCACGCTTTCAAACTACACAATCTCTCTCCCCCACCACTCCTTTTGTTACCTCGCTTTCAAAGATGGGGGGCTACATATTCCTCATCTAAAGTCATCTTCTAAGACAACCTTACCATGTCCACAAACATCATGCAATACCATGTCCACAAACATCATGCAATGTACCCGAAAATCAGTTAGAATTATGTGTTTTTCCCCTTGTCTCCTACCATATGTGCCACTCTATTTAGGGGTGGACTGGGACCGGGCCTAAACAATACTGGATCAGGCTCGATTTTAGGACAGAACTGGGCAATAAATTAAAAAAATAACGCAATCGGACCCGGCCCTAACCCGGCCAGATCAGCCCCAAAAACGAACCCGAAGAACACCTTTATAGCCACCGGTCAGGTTGGGACCTGGCCTGAAAAGTAGCAGGTCGAGTCGGGCCTGCACAATGCCAAGTCGGGCCGACCCGTTCCAATCCATCCCTAACTCGAGTCGGGCATCATTCCACATGCAAAAGTAAATGTTGATATTTAGTTAAATTAGAAGGTTTAATATAGGTAAACTCGGAGTCCATTGCATGAAGGTTTCAATACTTATTACTAAATTAAAGTTACCAAAAATGTATAATCCATAATACATATTCCATAAATACCTTTTAATTAATATTCTATATATATAACAACTCAACAACAACAAAATTAAACTAAAATTTACTGAAGAGATCTTGATCAATACAAAACATTTTGAAAAGTTTTTACTATTATCAAGTTTAAACCAAAGCGGAAGTTTTTATATGTCGTGGAGTAAGGGCATCCTCATTGGTAGGATTATTATGAGATTAAATGGGTGACATGAAAGATTTTTTAAGGAATTATCATTGAGTGACATAGATTATTTAATGGGATTATTTGCTACAATAATTCGGGATCAAAATATGAATCCGGATTATTCTAGGATTATTTGAAAAGTATATGTAATACATAGTAAATATTAATGCAGGACAGAAAAAGCAAATTATTTGAAGATGATAATTGAGAGACATAAACGAATTTTGAGATTATTTTAAAATTAATTACATAACAATATTTAAATGGTAAGAATCATAGAAAAAATTGATTATTAGAGATCATGAATGGAGATGCTCTAAGAAGTGGTGAAATTGATGGTCTTGATGAATTGTACGAATTTAGAACATTTATAAGAGGAAGCCATGGTGCGAGGGTAAATGAAAAACTTGATGAAACCTCACCAAGTAGTTATGAATATACGGATTCAAATTTAGGAAATACCGCGTATAACATATTTCAGTTCATTCAACATCCTTTGGTACTTGGTAGTGTCCTTAATGTATGAATACAAATACACAACAGAATTTAATGCCAATAGTCTTCAAGCATATACTTATATACAAGTAGTAGATATATCCTTTGCTTTTCTGAATGCAGACTCATTTATGTTATGCATGGAATTTGCAGAACCCCTTCAAGTGGGCAAATACACGATCAGTTGACCTCCATCATTAGCTATAGCCAAAGCACCCGTATGTGAATCATCTGTGGCTATACTCGAAACCGACCCATCTAACAGGGAACATTTAAAAGATTCCAATATATTAGCTGGTTTTAGAAAATTAAAAAAAAAAGTCTAAAATATGTCTGACTGGCATTCATAAGTATGTAGCGCGTAGGGAACTTAATTATGTTTTTCCAATTCAGAATGCAGAACCAAATTGCATATGGTGTGTGTTAAAAAAATTGTATTCAAGTAGAAGTGAAGTGAAAGTAATTTTAGACAATTAATTAACTTACAAGATATATTTCGCGCAAATACCAGAAACTAGCACAGAATTGGGATTTGAAGATACACATACATAACAATTCAAAAGTAAATGACAACCCGATTTCTTTAGTGTTTAGAAGAATGACAATAGAACGTCATCAAATTATGAAATTTGGATCTATTCCAGAAATGAAGTTTGCAGGCCAACTATACAATAAGAACGGAGCCAGGATTCAACTTTGCTTGGGGAGAATTAATATTTTCCCCAAGATTTAGAGTTGCAATTATAATAATCAAAATCTTACTATAACTACGCGTAAAATGATTAAGATATATAGTACTCCCAGCCTCTCCATCCCATTTTGTAAAATACACTTTCCTTATAGTTGTCTTAATAATACTACGAATGAACATTTTTCTAAATTAAAATCAACTAACTTACTTTTTACTTTCCCACTTTATCCTTCTATTTATCATTTCACCTTTTTACTTTTTGTGGACTCATCCTACTTTTTTGAGGTTAGAATTGTAAATTAACAACTTTATCTTTTACTTTCTTAAAACATTTGTCAAACCCAAATGTATCTTACATTATGGGACGGAAGGAGTATAATAGCATAATGAACAAAACACCACCTCTGACTTCAACAATAATTTACCTTTGAAGTGGTGCAAGCTTCCAATTTTGGTTCCAGTGATGAAGTCCCACATGTAGACATGTCCATCACTTGTACCGATAATTCCACTTCCAACAGAAGCACCTACTGCAGCAGTCCTGCAGCAAATTGAATTTTTGTGTTGCTGAAAAAAACAGTTATTATAAAAGCTTCTTCTGCAAGAAGGGTGCTTTTGCGCTATTATGTTCATATTCCAACTCGGCATGTGACCCTATGTTGTCCATAGCAAGTCAACTAACCTAAATAAAGGAGGACTGTGATAAGTTGTTGGCAAGTGTAAAACCAAATTCACCTCTGTGATCACGAACCAGATAGACATAATGAAAAAGATGAGTGTATCGAAGATGTGTGAGTTGAAGATATATGAGAAAGCTGAGTATGTTTGTTCACACACCTTTCCCATCGAGAGGTTGGTAAATGTCCCAAGCAGAGAGAATGGAGTCTTGGAAATGTGAAGTAATAGAGTTTTGATGAGGAATTGTGGTAGATAAAAAATGACATGAATTAAGTATGTGCAAAAAACATTGGGACATTGAAACTTAATGAGCATAAAGTGTACAACATAAAGAAGAGTGGAAACCCAAGATATTGTGGATAACCTCAGAAGATTATATATTGGTTCATGCATTCAATACGAGTGAATTAGGATTAAGGCCTGTTTTTTCATATTATGTGGTGAAACTCCCACCAGAGTCCCAGACCTAAAAAGTAAAAACAATGTTCTGACGCATTGTCTTGTTATTCCATTGGTAATTTGGTATGACATAAGTAAATTCCTTATAATGTTAATAATGGCGTCATATATGCACATATATGACCCATCACAGCCATCTAAAAGGATTTTCAGTTCAAGGAATTGAAGCTATGTTATTCCCATGGTACTTTGACTTACAGGGTAAGTTTACATATGCCTTCCTAACAGTAGTCCTGAGTCCTAAGTCCTAACCTTCCCACAAGTGCGTGCGCACATGTGGGCATGTGAATCCATTTAGAACTCGGGAAATTGCAAGCAAAGAATATATGAAGATTTTTGGAAGGAATGATAATGCGAGGGAAATTAAAAAAAAGTTGTTTCAAACTCAATAAATAAATTTTAGATATATGTTTATGCTAAATACATCAACTTTAAATACATTACATACATATTCAAACTCAATATATCATTCTTTAGTTTTTTATCATGTAAGGCTAAGAAATCACATGTAAAACGGTTTTATCAAATTTAATTTTCACTCATATTTTTGAAATTAAACCAAACATCAAAAATCAATTTCTTCAGTATTTTTCCATGCGAGACCTAAGTGGGTGAGCTTAGTGGGGATAAGTTTCAAAAATAGCCTAAGTGGGTCAGTTAAGGGAGCATGCTCATGTTCAGACAAGGAATCTAAAGCTGGGTCCATGATTTTTAAATATTTTTAGGGGAAAGGCACTAAGATGATATACCCAGAAATATCTTTTAGTCTGTCTCCATAGAGACCTAAACTTATGTTCTCCTTACCTGGGATCCAGCATATCACCCATGATTACAGTGTTATTTGCCAGTAATGCAAGCCTCCAACATCTAAGTGGGTCTGATTGCTCACTTTGGTAATGATACCCAAGTTCATCACAATCTGGAGCAGTTGAAACCAAAAGCCAAACCACCACCTCATCACCCTCTATGTAGCTGACAACTTCATTGCCACCTTTTACTGAAAGTGATGCCTTAGTGGAATCAACAATTTTACCTAAAACTTCTGCAATGTACATATCTTTAAGGATATTGCATCCTGCTTTCCATGTAAACAAACTAAGAGGAACACACTGAAAAACTGAAGTATGAGAAGAGAATTTGGAAACAAGAACTCTCTTGTTTATATCCCTGTAGAAGAAAACAGAAAATAAGCCTCGGTAAGATATTAATGTGCATTGTATGAAAATGGGAAAAAATAGTACACCTAATTTAAAAATGATGCAACATTTGGTTGTTCGTTCCTTCATGATTTCCAAATTTAGATCAAGCCATCAAAGAATTTGGATAGTATTCGGAACGAACTCGCACTGTTTAACATCAGTCCAGCACCAAGAGATGGACTGTTATGATGGTGAACAATCTGCAGAAAATAGAGGATAAGCAGAACTATTTACCATACACTGAACTCCCCCAATCCATTAATGCCAAGAACCAAATGCAAGAGGTTTGGTATTCTCTTCAACCCTGTTAAATGAGTCATGCAACTTGGTGATTGCACAAAGCACTCTTCCATCTTCTCGCTGCATTTTAAGCATCATAATTCTCATAATGAAAACTAGATGAAGCCATGTAAAAAATTCTGTTTTATCAAAACTAAGAAGCACAGGTCTTTTTAATTATAGTAGTCACAAAAACTAAATCAATGGTTATTCAATTTGGAACAAACTTGAAACATTAAATGTTCAACGTTTAATGCAGTCAATTCATGTCAAATCATGGCACATGTTAAAATTACTTTATCATGGAAGGCATAAGTTTCTTTATTATGTCAAGCTCAACCCCTAGATGATTACTTTATACTTTTCTGTTTCAATAACTCAACTTATTACTAAGACGAATTTCACATATC